TTTTTGCGTTAGTCTGTAGTTTGGGGTGAGTCGTGTTTTGTGGGTGAGTCACTAAAGCGGGGGTGTGGTCAGGGTTCCGTGTTGGCCCGTGTTTTTTGTTAGTTAGTGTTGCGTGTGAGTCATTGTGTTGCGTGTCTGTTTTGGTGTGAGTCTTTGCGTTGTCTGTAAGTCGTGTGTGTGTGTGAGTCATTGTGTTTTGGGGTGGGGAAAGGGTTGGGGTTTGTGTGTGAGTCCCGCGTTTTTGTTGTGAGTCCCGTATGTTGTGTTTGAGTTTAGTGTGTTGTGTGTGGGGTCAGTTCGGGTTTTGTTGTTAGTCATTGTAAGGGGGTTTTGAAATCAGTTTTGTTGTGGGGTTTTAGTCATTGTGTTGTGGGGGACTCAGGGTGTTTTTGGGGTGAGTCACGTGTTTTTGTGGGATCAGAAAGGTTTTTGTGTTTGTCAGTGCGTTTGTGTGAGTCATTGGGATTGTGTGTGAGTCGTGTGTTGGGGTGTGATTCCCGTATGTTGTGAGTGAGTAAATGGTTGTGTTGGTCAGTTTTTGTTGTAAATCAGTGGTTGGGTTGAATCAGTGTGTTGTGTGTGAGTCAGCGTGTTGTGTGTGAGTCAGTGTGTTGTGTGTGGGCAGTGGGGTTGTGTGTGAGGGCACGTTTTTTGTGTGTGAGTCAGCGTGTTTTGGGGTGATTTAAAATGTTGTGTTTTGGTTTATGTGGTGTGTTTTCAGTGTTTTTTTGTGAGTTTTAGTGTGTTGCGTTTTTTTGAGTCAGGTGTTGGTGTGTCAGTGTTGTGTGTTTCAGTGTTTTGTTTTGGAGTCCAGTGTGGTTTTGTGGGGTGGTTTAGTGTGTTTTGTGTGAAACCAGTATGTTTGGGGTAGTCAGTTTTGTTGGTGTGAGTCGGTGTTTGTGTTTTTGTTCAGTTTTGTTGTTTTTGAGTCAGTTTTGTGTGTGAGGGCCCGTATGTTGGTTTTTGAGTCAGTGTGTTGTGTGTGTCATTTTTTTGTGTGTGGGTCGTGTGTTCGTGTGAGTCCGTGTGTTGTGTTTTGTTTAGTGTTGTGTGGAGCCAGTGTTTTGTGTTGAGTCAGTGTGTTGTGTGTGAGTCAGTGTGTTTGTATTATTTATTTTGGGGGGCGGGGTTTTTACTGTGTTGGTGTGAATCTGTTGTGTGTGTTTTGTGTGTTGTTTGTGAGTTTAGTGTGTTTTTGTGGATTTAAAAGTGTTTCGTGTGGGCAGTGTGTTGGGGTTTTGAGTCAGTGTTTGTGTGAATCTGTGTTATGTGTGAGTCAGGTATTTGGGGTGTGGTTTAGTGTGTTGGGGGTGTGGGGCTTGTGTTCCCTGGGGAGTCATGTGTTTTGGGGTGAGTTATTTTGGGTGGATCATTTTTGTTTCGTGCAGTGTTTTGTGAGTTAGTTTGTTGTCTGAACAGTTTTTGTGTGTGAGTGTTTGAGGGAGTGGTTTCGTGTGAGTCAGTGTGCTGTGTGTGATCGTATTTGTGTGGGGGTCAGTGTTTTGTGTGTCATGTGTTGTGTGTGATCATTTTGTTGTGTGTGATTTAGGTTTTGTTGTGTGTGAGTCGTGTTTTGTTTTGTCAGTGTTTTTGTGGGGTCAGTTTCTGTGTGTGGGGTCATATTTTGTGTTTTGGTCAGTGTTGTGTGTTTTCAGTGGTTTTGTGTGAGTTTAGTTTTTTGTTGGTGTGAATCATGTTGGGTTTTGTGGTCAGTGTGTTGGTTTTGAGTAGTATGTTACGGTGGTCAGTGGTTTTGTGTGTGAGTCAGTGTGTTGTGTGTGAGTCAGTGTGTTGCGTATGAGTCAGTATGTTACGTGTGAGTCAGTGTTGTGTGTGAGTCAGTGTGTTGCGTGTAAGTCAGTGTGTTGTGTGTGAGTCAGTATGTTGTGTGTGAGTCAGTGTGTTGTGTGTGAGTCAGTATGTTGTATGTGAGTCAGTGTGTTGTGTGTGAGTCAGTGTGTTGTTTGTGAGTCAGAATATTGTGTGTGAGTCAGTATGTTGCGTGTAAGTCAATGTGTTGTGTGTGAGTCAGTATGTTGTGCCTGAGTCAGTGTGTTGTGTGTGAGTGAGAATGTTGTGTGTGAGTCAGTATGTTGTGTGTGAGTCAGTGTATTGCGTGTGAGTCAGTGTGTTTTGTGTGAGTCAGTGTGTTGTGAGTCAGTGTGTTGCGTGTAAGTCAGTATGTTGCGTGTGAGTTAGTGTGTTGTGTGTGTGTGAGTGTGTTGCGTGTAAGTCAGTGTGTTGTGTGTGAGTCAGTGCGTTGTACTCACCTATTTGTACTCACCTATTTGTGGTTGCAGGGGTCGAGTCACAGCTCCTGGCCCCGCCTCTTCGCTGATTGCTACTAGGTCCTCTCTCTCCCTGCCCCATGAGCTCTATCATACCTCGCCTTAAAACTATGTATGGTTCCTGCCTCCACTACGTCACTTTCTAGGCTATTCCACGGCCTGACTACTCTATGACTGAAGAAATACTTCCTAACATCCCTTTGATTTATCTGAGTCTTCAACTTCCAATTGTGACCTCTTGTGTCTGTGTCCCATCTCTGGAACATCCCGTCTTTGTCCACCTTGTCTATTCCGCGCAGTATTTTATATGTCGTTATCATGTCTCCCCTGACCCTCCTGTCCTCCAGTGTCGTCAGGCCGATTTCCCTCAATCTTTCTTCGTAGGACAATCCCCGTAGCTCTGGGACTAGTCTTGTTGCAAACCTTTGCACTTTCTCTAATTTCTTGACGTGCTTGACTAGGTGTGGATTCCAAACTGGTGCTGCATACTCCAGTATGGGCCTGACGTAAATGGTATACAGAGTCTTAAACGAATCCTTACTGAGGTATCGGAACGCTATCCGTAGGTTTGCCAGGCGCCTGTATGCTGCAGCAGTTATCTGATTGATGTGCGCCTCAGGAGATATGCTCGGTGTTATACTCACCCCCAGATCTTTTTCCTTGAGTGAGGTTTGCAGTCTTTGGCCATCTAAACTATATTGTGTCTGCGGTCTTCTTTGCCCTTCCCCAATCTTCATGACTTTGCATTTGGCAGGGTTAAATTCAAGGAGCCAGTTGCTGGACCAGGCTTGTAGCCTGTCCAGGTCTCTTTGTAGTCCTGCCTGATCCTCATTCGATTTGATTCTTCTCATTAACTTCGCATCATCTGCAAACAAGGACACTTCTGAGTCTATTCCTTCCGCTACGTCGTTCACATATACCAAGAACAGCACAGGTCCTAGGACTGACCCCTGTGGAACCCCGCTTGTCACAGGCGCCCACTCTGACACCTCGTCGCGTACCATGACTCGTTGTTGCCTCCCTGTCAGTTATTCTCGGATCCATTGCAGTGCCTTTCCTGTTATGTGTGCCTGATCCTCTAGCTTTTGCAGTAACCTCTTGTGAGGAACTGTGTCGAAGGCCTTCTTGCAGTCCAAAAATACGCAGTCGATCCACCCCTCTCTCTCTTGTCTTACTTCTGTCACCTTGTCATAAAACTCCAGTAGGTTTGTGACACAGGATTTTCCTTCCCTGAAACCGTGCTGGTTGTCAATTATACACTTGTTTCTTTCCAGGTGCCCCACCACTCTCCTCCTGATGATCTTCTCCATGACCTTGCATACTATATACGTTAGTGATACAGGTCTGTAGTTTAGTGCCTCATGTCTGCCTCCCTTTTTAAAAATTGGGGCTACATTTGCCATTTTCCATACCTCAGGGAGTTGCCCAGTTTCAAATGAAGTGTTGAAGATCTTTGTTAATGGATCACACAATATCTCTGCTCCCTCTTTAAGGACCCATGAAGAGATGTTGTCTGGTCCCACCGCCTTTGAGGTGTCAAGTTCGCATAGCAGCTTCTTCACCTCCTCCTCCTTGGTTATATGTGTGTAAGTCAGTGTGTTGTGAGTCAGTATGTTGTGTGTGAGTCAGTATTTTGTGTGTGAGTCAGTATGTTGAATCAGTGTGTTGCGTGTAAGTCAGTGTGTTGTGAGTCAGTATGTTGAGTCATTGTGTTGCGTGTAACTCAGTGTTGTGTGTGAGTCAGTATGTTGTGTGTGAGTCAGTATGTTGAGTCAGTGTGTTGTGTGTGAGTCAGTATTTTGTGTGTGAGTCAGTATGTTGAGTCAGTGTGTTGCGTGTAAGTCAGTGTGTTGTGTGTGAGTCAGTATGTTGCGTGTAAGTCAGTGTGTTGCGTGTAAGTCAGTATTTTGTGTGTGAGTCAGTATGTTGTGTGTGTCAGTGTGTTACATTTAAGTCAGTGTGTTGTGTGTGAGTCAGTATGTTGAGTCAGTGTGTTGTGTGAGTCAGTATTTTGTGTGTGAGTCAGATGTTGAGTCAGTGTGTGCGTGTTGAGTCAGTATTTTGTGTGTGAGTCAGTATGTTGAGTCAGTGTGTTGCGTGTGAGTCAGTATTTTGTGTGTGAGTCAGTATGTTGAGTCAGTGTGTTTCGTGTAAGTCAGTGTGTTGTGTGTGAGTCAGTATGTTAAGTCAGTGTGTTGCGTGTAAGTCAGTGTGTTGTGTGAGTCAGTATGCTGAGTCAGTGTGTTGCGTGTAAGTCAGTATGTTGTGTGTGAGTCAGTATGTTGTGTGTGTCAGTGTGTTACATTTAAGTCAATGCGTTGTGTGTGAGCCAGTGTGTTGCGTGTGAGTGAGTCAGTGTTGCGTGTGAGTTAATGTATTGCGTGTGAGTGAGTCAGTGTTGCGTGTGAGTTAATGTATTGCGTGTGAGTGAGTGCGTTGCATGAGCCAGTGTGTTGCGTGTGAGTCAGTGTGTTGCGTGTGACTGAGCTAGTGTGTTGCGTGTGACTGAGTCAGTGTGTTGCGTGTAACTGAGTCAGTGTGTTGCGAGTGATTCAGTGTGTTGCGTGTGATTGAGTCAGTATGTTGCGTGTAAGTGAGTCAGTGTGTTGCGTGTGACTGAGTCAGTATGTTGCGTGTGACTGAATCAGTGTGTTGCGTGTGAAGTCAGTGTGTTGCGTGTGAGTCAGTGTGACTAAAAGTAACTCTCCCCAGCACGTTGTGGGTCTACACGAGGTGAAGTTCCGTGGCTCTCGCCAAATAGACGCCCACGACCTGCTGGCTGCCCTGCTGACCTGGCTCCACAATGACCTCATGAAGGTGAGTCTACTCACTCGCTAGCAGGCAGCATCATAGTCTACTCTCAAACAGCGTCGTAGTCTACACGCAGGCTGCGTCATAGTGTACACGCAGGCTGCGTCATAGTGTACACGCAGGCTGCGTCATAGTGTACACGCAGGCTACGTCATAGTGTATACGCAGGCTGCGTCATAGTGTACACGTAGGCTGCGTCATAGTGTACACGCAGGCTGCGTCATAGTGTACACGCAGGCTGCGTCATAGTGTACACGCAGGCTGCGTCATAGTGTACAGCAGGCTGCGTCATAGTGTACACGCAGGCTGCGTCATAGTGTACACGCAGGCTGCGTCATAGTGTACACGCAGGCTGCGTCATAGTGTACACGCAGGCTGCGTCATAGTGTACACGCAGGCTGCGTCATAGCCAACACACAAGTGCGGTGTTGTGGGTCTTGATGTGTGGGAAAATGAAGTATCTCTCTCTTTATACATAGTTTTACAAGGTTAAGGTTCCTAACTTAATTTACAAGCTGTCTCTATCTATCTCTCTCTCTTTTACAGTTTTACAAGGTTAGGTTAAAGTTCCTAACTTTATTTACAAGCAAAGAATTATTCTCGCTCTCCCCTCACTCGTTTGCTTCAATTTCTCCGACATACAAATCTAGGAAGACTTGTAAGGGAACAGGTATCACCTGTGAAGGTGAGCTAGTTGTCAGTCATCATGTTAACAGTACACACAGGTGATTTATGTTGCTCTCAGATTCTCCTTATTTGATGATAATATATGTTACTGTGTGTGCGCGCTGAGGAGACAGGTTAGTAGTAATGTCTACTCCGAGATCCTTTTCTCTGTTGACACACGTTTAGTTTACGGTCTGCTTTTCCCATCTTTCAGGCTTATCAGCTTTCACTGGGGCTCGAGTTTCAACAGCCACTTACAGAATTATTACAGTAATTTGTATAGAATAGGCCAGCAACACACTGCGGATATTTCCAGCATGGAACTATCATATAGAATAGTTTAGCAGCACACTGCGGATGTTCTACACCGTAACTATAGTACAGAATAAGACTGTCGATTCTGATGCAATAAGAGTATTAACACCCCATGTGTAAATTATCTAGCATAACCCCCCCCCCAAAAAAAAAAAAAAAAAAAAAGTCAAAGTAACTTATTTCCGTCTGCGTCCTTACAATATCTTAATATTTTAACCTTATAAGTTAAAACAGGTAAATAAGTCAACTGTGGTTGCAGGCGGACTGGACCTCTGTCATCTCTGATCTCTTCCATGGTGAGGAGGTGTCGGAGATCATCTGTCATGAACGTGAGGCTGAGAATGTGATCTGCCGTACCTCTCAGCCGTTCCCCAGCATCACCCTACCTGTCGTTCACAGCAACATGCCGTGGTCCCTGCAGGTACAACTTCACCTGTTTCGTCTTCCTCGAGTGGAACAGCTTCTCACCTGATAACTTAGCTACATGTGTGTAACGTATTTATTACGTTAAGTAAATATGTCCTGGCGTCTAAGGGTAAAAGCTTTGTCTAGGGGTAAAAGCCTCATCTAGGGGTAAAAGCCTCATCTAGGGGTAAAAGCCTCGTCTAGGGGTAAAAGCCTCGTCTAGGGGTAAAAGCCTCGTCTAGGGGTAAAAGCCTCTCTAGGGGAAAACCCCTGGGGTAAAACCCCCTAGGGGAAAAAGCCCGTCAGGGGTAAACCCTTTTTTAAAAAGGTGGGGTAAACCCCTGGGGGAAAAACCTCTCTGGGGGAAAAGCCTCCTGGGGAAAAGCCCCCTGGGGTAAAAGCCTTTCGTCTGGGGGTAAAAGCCTCGTCTGGGGGTAAAAAGCCTCGCTGGGGGAAAAGCCCGTCTAGGGTAAAGCCCGTCTAGGGTAAAAGCCCGTCTGGGGGTAAACCCCTCTTGGGGGAAAAAGCCCTCTAAAAAAACCCGTCAGGGTAAAAGCCCTCTGGGGGTAAAAGCCTCGTCTGGGGGGTAAAAGCCTCGCTGGGGGTAAAAGCCTCGCTGGGGGAAAAAAGCTCGTCTAGGGTAAAACCTCGTCTAGGGGTAAAGCCTCGTCTAGGGGTAAAAGCCCTCTGGGGGTAAAAGCCTCGTCGGGGGAAAAAAGCCTGAAGGGTAAAAGCCTCGTCTGGGGGGAAAAGCCTCGCTAGGGAAAAAAGCCTCTCTAGGGGTAAAAGCCTCCAGGGTAAAACCCTCCTAGGGTAAAACCCTCGTCTAGGGAAACCCCTCGTCTAGGGTAAAAGCCTCGTCAGGGTAAACCTCTTCTAGGGAAAAAAGCCTCGTCTAGGGAAAAAAGCTCGTCTAGGGGTAAACCCCGCGGGGGGAAAAACCCCGGGGGTAAAAGCCTCGTCTGGGGGTAAAGCCTCGTCTGGGTAAAAGCCCCTCTGGGGGGAAAAGCCTCGTCTAGGGAAACCCTTTAAAAGGGGTAAAACCCCTCGTCTAGGGTAAAGCCCGTCTGGGGGAAAAAAGCCTCTCTAGGGGTAAAAGCCTCTCTGGGGGAAAAAAGCCTCCCTAGGGGTAAAAGCCTCGTCGGGGGAAAAAAGCCTCGTCAGGGTAAAAGCCTCGTCTGGGGGTAAAAGCCTCCCCGGGGGAAAGCCTCGTCTAGGGTAAAAGCCTCTCTAGGGGTAAAGGGGGCCTCGTCTAGGGTAAACCCTCGTCTAGGGTAAAAGCCTCCAGGGGTAAAAGCCTCGTCTAGGGGTAAAAGCCTCGTCAGGGGTAAAACCCTTTCGTCTAGGGGTAAAAGCCCGTCTGGGGGTAAAAGCCCGCTGGGGGTAAAAGCCTCGTCTGGGGTAAAAAAGCCTCGTCTAGGGAAAAGCCTCCTAGGGTAAAAGCCCGTCAGGGTAAAACCTCTCAGGGAAAAAAAGCCTCGTCTGGGGGTAAAGCCTCGTCAGGGTAAAGCCTCGTCAAGGGAAAACCTCGTCGGGGAAAACCTCGCTGGGGGAAAAAAGCCTCGCTAGGGTAAAAGCCTCGTCTGGGGGAAAAAGCCTCGTCTGGGGGTAAAACCTCGTCGGGGGTAAAAGCCTCGCTAGGGGTAAAAGCCTCGTCTAGGGTAAAAGCCTCTCTGGGGATAAAACCTCTCTGGGGGGTAAAAGCCCGTCTGGGGGTAAAAGCCCGTCTGGGGGTAAAAGCCTCGCTGGGGGATAAAAGCCCGTCTGGGGTAAAGCCTCGTCGGGGGAAAAAAGCCTCGTCTAGGATAAAGCCTCGTCTAGGGAAAACCCCTCGTCTAGGGATAAAAGCCCTTAGGGTAAAAGCCTCTCTGGGGGAAAACCCTCGTCTGGGGGGTAAAGCTCGTCTGGGGGTAAAAGCCCGCTAGGTAAAACCCCTTCTCTGGGGTAAAACCCTCGTCTAGGGGTAAAACCCTCGTCTAGGGGTAAAACCTCGTCTAGGGATAAAACCTCGTCAAGGGGAAAAACCCTCGTCTGGGGTAAAACCCTCGTCTGGGGTAAAACCTCGTCAGGGGTAAACCCTCGCTGGGGTAAAAGCCCTCTAGGGTAAAAGCCTCTGGGGTAAAAGCTTCGTCAAGGGTAAAAGCTTCGTCTAGGGGAAAAAGCTTCGCTGGGGGTAAAAGCTTCGTCTAGGGTAAAAGCTTCGTCAGGGGAAAAAGCTCGCGGGGGGTAAAAGCCTTCGTCTAGGGAAAAGCTTCCCCGGGGGTAAAAGTTTTCGTCGGGGGTAAAAGCTTAAAATCTCGGGGTAAAAGCTTCGTCTGGGGGAAAACTTCGCTAGGGTAAAATTTCGCTGGGGTAAAAGCCTCGTTGGGGGTAAAGCCTCGTCTAGGGTAAACCCTGGGCGGGGGAAAACCTCGTCAGGGAAAAGCCTCTCTAAAAAAACTTCGCGGGGGTAAAAGCCTCTCTAGGGTAAAAGCTTCGCGGGGGTAAAACCCTCGCTAGGGTAAAAGCCTCAGGGAAAAATTTTCGTCTGGGAAAAGCTTCTCTGGGGGTAAAACTTCGTCTGGGGGTAAAACCCCTCGTCAGGGAAAACCCTCGTCTAGGGATAAAAGTTTCGTCAGGGAAAAAAGCCCGTCAGGGGAAAACCCGTCTGGGGATAAAAGCTTCGTCAAGGGGAAAAGCTTCGTCTAGGGTAAAAGCCCGCTGGGGAAAAAAGCTTCGCGGGGTAAAAGCTTCGTCTAGGGTAAAAGCTTCTCAGGAAAAAAGCTTCTCAGGGGTAAAAAGCCTCGCAGGAAAAAGCTTCGTCGGGGGGAAAAAACTCGTCTAGGGGATAAAAGTTTCGTCTAGGGGTAAAAGCTTCGTCTGGGGGTAAAAAGCCGCTAGGATAAAAGCTTCGTCTGGGGGGAAAAGCTTCGTCGGGGGTAAAAGCCTCGTCTGGGGATAAAGTTTTGTTCTAGGTAAAAGCCGTCGGGGGAAAAGCTTCGCTGGGGGTAAAACTTCTCAAGGGTAAAAGCTCGTCTAGGGAAAAAGCTTCGTCTGGGGGTAAAGCTTCGTCTAGGTAAAAGCTCGTCTAGGGTAAAAGCTTCGTCTAGGGTAAAAGCCTCGTCTGGGGGAAAAAAGCTCGTCTGGGGGAAAAACTTCGTCTGGGGGTAAAACCCTTGCTAGGGAAAAAGCTTCGTCTAGGGGAAAACCCTCGTCTGGGGGAAAAGCCTCGCTAGGTAAAAGCCGTCTTTAAAAGGTTTTTAAAAAGCCTCGTAAGGAAAAAAGCTTCGTCAGGGTAAAAGCCCTTTAAAAAAATTTGGGGGGAAAAAACCCCTCGTCTAGGGTAAAAGCCTCGTCTAGGGATAAAACTTCCTGGGGGTAAAAGTTTTCGGGAAAACTGTGGGAAAAGTTTTCGCTGGGGGAAAAGCCTCTCTAGGGTAAAAGCCGTCTAGGGGTAAAAGCCTCTCTGGGGATAAAAGTTTTCTCGGGGGAAAAGCCTCTCTAGGGAAAAGCTTCGTCAGGGAAAAACCCGTCAGGGTAAAATTTTCGCTAGGGAAAAAAGCCTCGTCTAGGGAAAAAGTTTCGTCGGGGTAAAACCCTCGTCAGGGTAAAAGTTCGTCAGGGGTAAAAGCCCTCGTCTGGATAAAGCTTCGTCTGGGGGTAAAACCTCGCTGGGGGTAAAAGTTTCGTCGGGGAAAAAAAGCTTCGTCTAGGGGTAAAACCCTCGCTAGGGGGTAAAAGCCTCTCTAGGGTAAAATTTCGTCAGGGGTAAAAGTTTCGTTAGGGTAAAAGTTCGCTAGGGTAAAAGCTTCTCGGGGTTTTAAAGCTTCGTTAGGGGTAAAGCTTCGTCTGGGGGTAAAAGCCTCGTCGGGGGTAAAACTTCGTCTAGGGGTAAAAGTTTTCGCTAGGGAAAAGCTCGCTGGGGTAAAAGCTTCGAAAAAAAGGGGTAAAAGCTCGTCTAGGGGTAAAAGCCTCGTCTAGGAAAAAATTTCTCAGGGTAAAAGCCGCCCACTCTAGGGGAAAAGCTCGCTAGGGAAAAAAGCCTCCTGGGGTAAAAAGCTCTCAGGGTAAAAGCTTCGTCAGGGGTAAAACCCTCGTCTAGGGGTAAAAGCCTCGTCGGGGATAAAAGCTTCGTCTAGGGGTAAAAGCCTGCTGGGGGAAAAAGCCTCGCTGGGGATAAAAGCCTCTCTGGGGAAAAAAGCCTCTGGGGGTAAAACCTCGTCTGGGGGAAAAAGCCTCGTCTGGGGTAAAAGCCCGTCTAGGGATAAAACCCTCGCTAGGGTAAAAAGCCTCGTCTAGGAAAAAAACCCGTCTAGGGATAAAAGCCTCGCGGGGGTAAAAGCCTCGTCTAGTGGAAATAAAAGCCCGCGGGGGAAAAAACCTCGCTAGGAAAAAGCCTGTCGGGGAAAACCTCGTCTGGGGATAAAACCTCCTAGGGGATAAAAGCCTCGTCTAGGGAAAAAGCCTCGTCTGGGGATAAAGCCCTCAAGGGTAAAACCTCTCTGGGGGAAAAAACCTCGTCTAGGGGTAAAACCTCGCGGGGGTAAAAAGCCCCGTTGGGGAAAAACCCTCGCTGGGGTAAAACCCTCGTCTAGGGGAAAAAACCCCTTCGTCCAAAAGGGGAAAAGCTTCGTCTAGGGTAAAAGCTTCGTCTAGGGTAAAACTCGCTAGGGGAAAAAAGCTCGTCTGGGGGTAAAAGCTTCTCAGGGTAAAAGCCCTCGGGGGAAAAGCTTCGCTAGGGGTAAAACTTCGTCAAGGGGTAAAAGTTCGTCAAGGGGAAAAAGCTTGCCTGGGGGAAAAAAGTTTCGTCTAGGGGTAAAAGCTCGTCTGGGGGAAAAAGCTTCGTCGGGGGAAAAAGCTTCGCTGGGGTAAAAGCCCGTCGGGGGTAAACCCTGTCTGGGGTAAAGCCTCGCGGGGGAAAAGCCTCCAGGATAAACCCTCCAGGGAAAAAAGCTTCTCTAGGGAAAAGCCCGCTGGGGGAAAAGCCGTCTAGGGAAAAAGCCTCTCTAGGGAAAAGCTTCACGGGGTAAAAAGCTTCGTCAGGGGAAAAACCCTTCGCAGGGAAAAAGCTTCGCTAGGGGTAAAACCCTCGCAAGGGGAAAAAGCCTCGCTAGGAAAAAGCTTCGTCTAGGGGTTAAAAAGCTCGTTAGGGTAAAAGCTTCGTCGGGGAAAAAGCTTCGTCTAGGGGTAAAACCTCGTCTAGGATAAAAGCTTCGCCCGGGGGTAAAAGCTTCGCTAGTAAAAGCTTCGTCTAGGGAAAAAAACTTCGTCTGGGGGAAAAACCCTCGTCTGGGGATAAAACTTCGCTGGGTAAAAGTTCGCTGGGGTAAAAGCTTCGCTGGGGGAAAAAGTTTCGCCCGGGGTAAAATTTTTCTCTAGAAATAAAAGCTTCGTCTGGGGGAAAAAGTTTCCTAGGGTAAAAGCCCTCGGGAAATAAAAGCTTCGTCTGGGGTAAAAGCTTCTCGGGGATAAAAGTTTCGCTAGGGTAAAAGCTTCGTCTAGGGGTAAAAGCCCCCCGCAGGGAAAAAAGTTTTTCGTAGGTAAAAGTTTCGTCTGGGGTAAAACCCTCGTCTAGGGAAAAAGCTTCGTCAGGTAAAAGCCTCGTCTAGGGAAAAACTTCGTCAGGGGAAAAGCTTCGCTAGGGTAAAAGCTTCGTCAGGGAAAAAAGCTTCGCTGGGGTAAAACCCCTCGCTGGGGTAAAACCTCTCTAGGGAAAAAAGCTTCGTCTAGGGAAAAGTTTTCGTCTGGGGGGTAAAAGCCTCGTCTAGGGATAAAAGCTTCGTCTGGGGGTAAAACCCCGTCTAGGTAAAACTTCTCTAGGGTAAAACTCTTTGGGGCCCCTTTAGGGTAAAAGCTTCGCTGGGGGAAAAGTTTTGTCTAGGGTAAAACTCGTCTGGGGGTAAAAGCTTCGTCTAGGGAAAAAAGCCCGCTGGGGGAAAAAGCTCGTCTAGGGGAAAAAGCCTCGTCTAGGGTAAAAGTTTCGCTAGGGTAAAAGCCCGCTGGGGTAAAACCCTTTCGTCTGGGGGTAAAACCTCGTCTAGGAAAAAAGCTTCGTCAGGGGAAAAGCCTCGTCTGGGGGTAAAAGCTCGTCAGGGTAAAAGCCTCGCAGGGATAAAAGTTTTCGTCTGGGGGTAAAAGCCCGCTAGGTAAAAGCTCTCAGGGGTAAAAGCCCGTCTGGGGATAAAAGCTTCGTCTAGGGTAAAAGCTTTCGTCTGGGGGAAAAAAGCCTCGCGGGGGTAAACCCTCGCTAGGGATAAAAGCTTCGTCTAGGGGTAAAAAAAAATTTTATTAAAAAAAAAAAAAAAAAAAAAAAACCCCAAAAAAAAAAAGCTTCGTCTGGGGGTAAAAGCCTCGCAGGGTAAAAGCTTCGCTAGGGGTAAAAAGCTTCGTCAGGGGTAAAAGCCCGTCTAGGGGTAAAAGCTCGTCGGGGAAAAAAGCTTCTCTAGGGTAAAAGCTTCTCGGGGGAAAAAGCCTCGCTAGGGAAAAAGCTTCGTCTAGGGTAAAAGCTTCGCGGGGGTAAAAGCCTCGTCTAGGGGAAAAGCTTCGTCTGGGGTTTAAAAGCCCGCTGGGGGTAAAAGTTCGTCTAGGATAAAGCTTCGTTAGGGTAAAGCCCGTCTAGGGTAAAAGCCTCGCTGGGGATAAAAGCTTCGTCTGGGGGTAAAACTTCGTCTAGGGAAAAGCTTCGTCTAGGGGTAAAAGCTTGCTGGGGGAAAAAAGCCTCGCAAGGGTAAAAGTTTCGTCTAGGGGTAAAAGCCTCGCTGGGGATAAAAGTTTCGTCTAGGGGTAAAACCCGCGGGGGTAAAAGTTTTCGTCAGGGGAAAAAAAGCCTCGTCTAGGGATAAAGCTCGTCAGGGAAAAGCCCGTCTAGGGTAAAAGCTTCTCTAGGGAAAACCCGCTGGGGAAAAAACCTTTCTCTGGGGGAAAAAAGCCTCGTCTAGGGATAAAATTTCGTCTGGGGGTAAAAAGCCCGTCTAGGGATAAAAGTTTCCTGGGGGAAAAAAAGCTTCGTCAGGGTAAAAGCCGTCTAGGAAAAAAGCTTCGTCAGGGAAAAAAAGCTTCGCGGGGGGAAAAGCCTCGTCTGGGGGGAAAAAACTTCGTCTAGGGAAAAAGCTTCGTCTGGGGGTAAAACTTCGTCTGGGGGTAAAAGCTTCGCTAGGGAAAACCCTCGTCTGGGGGTAAAAGCCTTGTCTAGGGTAAAAGCCTCGTCTAGGGAAACTTCGTGGGGGGGAAAAACCCTCGTCTAGGGTAAACCCGTCTAGGGGAAAAAGCCTCGTCTGGGGATAAAAGCCTCGCTAGGGGTAAAATCCTCGCAGGGATAAAAGCCCGTCTGGGGGTAAACCTCATCAGGGGTAAAAGCCTCGTCTAGGGGGAAAACCCGCGGGGGAAAAGCCTCGTCTGGGGAAAAAACCCGTCGGGGGGAAAGCCTCGTCGGGGTGAAACCCTCGTCTGGGGGAAAATCCTCACTAGGGAAAAGCCTGCAAAGGGGTAAAACCTCGTCAGGGTGAAAGCCCGTCTGGGGATAAAAGCCCGTCTAGGGAAAAATCCTCACTGGGGGAAAAAGCCCGTCAAGGGAAAAGCCTCGCGGGGGTAAAAGCCCGTCTGGGGGTGAAACCTCGCTAGGGGAAAAACCCTCGTCTAGGGTGAAACCTCGCTAGGGGTAAAAGCCTCGTCTAGGGATAAAAGCTTCGTCTAGGGGTAAAAGCCTCGTCTAGGGGTAAAAGCTTCGTCTAGGGGTAAAAGCCTCGTCTAGGGGTAAAAGCCTCGTCTAGGGGTAAAAGCCTCGTCTAGGGGTAAAAGCCTCGTCTAGGGGTAAAAGCCTCGTCTAGGGATAAAAGCCTCGTCTAGGGGTAAAAGCCTCGTCTAGGGGTAAAAGCCTCGTCTAGGGGTAAAAGCCTCGTCTAGGGGTAAAAGCCTCGTCTAGGGGTAAAAGCCTCGTCTAGGGGTAAAAGCCTCGTCTAGGGGTAAAAGCCTCGTCTAGGGGTGAAAGCCTCGTCTAGGGGTGAAAGCCTCGTCTAGGGGTGAAAGCCTCGTCTAGGGGTGAAAGCCTCGTCTAGGGGTAAAAGCCTCGTCTAGGGGTGAAAGCCTCGTCTAGGGGTGAAAGCCTCGTCTAGGGTGAAAGCCTCGTCTAGGGGTGAAAGCCTCGTCTAGGGGTGAAAGCCTCGTCTAGGGGTGAAAGCCTCGTCTAGGGGTGAAAGCCTCGTCTAGGGGTAAAAGCCTCGTCTAGGGGTAAAAGCCTCGTCTAGGGGTAAAAGCCTCGTCTAGGGGTAAAAGCCTCGTCTAGGGGTAAAAGCCTCGTCTAGGGGTAAAAGCCTCGTCTAGGGGTAAAAGCCTCGTCTAGGGGTAAAAGCTTCGTCCAGGGGCATTTAAAATATTAAAAAATACACCAACCTAGTGCCAGGTTTCTTTCTTCACATAAACTAGATTATCAGGAAAAATAACTAAATTCACTTTCATAAAAAATATAACTATATTAATATAGTAATCTTAGATATACAACCTACCCTCCACATATTACATAAAAGATACCAGTATACCTGTACCAGGTACTCACTTTAGGCAAAATATTGCCTAAACCCACTAGTACAGTGGTACCAGTTACAACATCGACACCATGCCTAACCCTTCTCGGGTAGGGTAGGTGCCTGAGCCCGAGCCTTTAGCTCATAAGACTGTCATTCCCATTAGCCCCCTTGGGGCGGGGATGGCAGACCAGAGAGGCCTAGCTTGTGGCTAGGCCTGGGGACAGTTGGTCCCAAAGATGAGGAGGTACTTGTGCCTCCTCCCATGGGAGACTTAGGTCTCAGACACTCCCTAAAGAGGGAGCCAAGGCCGGGCCACCACTTGGACAAGCCCGGGCCGGGAGAATACCGGCTAATCTTTAACTAACTAACCAGTTAAAATATATATATAAAAACAAGTGGGGTTCCATGACACCCGGTCTTCTGCTGGCCTCTTAGCCTGCAGGGAAAAAAAAAATATCTGTACTCTCCCAAACAGGCCCTCCACATACTAGTGCCTTACAGGAAAACTAGTGAGAGTACAAAAACTATTGTCTAAACTTTCCTAAAATTCCACCCACATGCTAGACCAAACTCCATAACGTCTTGCTCCGGCCACCGTTCTTCAGGTCCTGACCACTCGCCTCTCCTCTCCTGTCCTGTCCTGGCTACTCTGACTCACCAGGACTAATACCCGTCCGGTTTCAGAACAAATCCCGTCCACTGACATTATTAATGGGGCACTTTTATACACATATTTTCTACATTGTGTAATACTTGAGTATTCTTCTTTGTACAAAACTGGACTGATGAAGCCACTGTGGCGTAAAATTTCCTTAATAAAGATACCCGTTGTGTACTTTTAAAAATAGGTTAGATAAATACATGAGTGGGTGTGGGTGGGTGTGAGTTAGACCTGACTAGGTTGTGCTGCTGGGTCTGGTGCAGTGCTCCATCCTTGAGTGGAGATGACCAGACTGGGTGGGTCATTGGGCTAATCCGACGGGGGGGGGTCATTGGTCTAATCCGGGGGGGGGGGACATGGACCTGCTCCGCATGGGTCAGTAGGCCTGTTGCAGTGTTCCTTCTTTCTTATGTTCTTATGTTCTTAAGTGTTCCACATGTGTCTAATTTATTAATTTGTCGGTTCTCTGAGCCACCTATCAACACCTTCTCAGCTCTCTGACGGCTTTGGTTCTTCTAACATATTTGTCCTGTTACCTAACACCTGAGAAGGCCGTTAGCTTCACTGATCCCACTTGGATGATAGTTCCGCTCATCCACAGCTCTATCCCTGGCTAGGAGATGTTGAAGAATCACTACCGGACGCAGAAGATAGACTGGGAGTGTGAGGAGTGTGGACGGAGTCACGAGTGCAGCACCAGGGCTAACATCGTCCACTTCCCCCGAGTACTCACTCTCCACTTCAGCAGGTAAGGTGAAACTAGTTGTACACAAATGGTATACAATACTGACAAGATGCAGAATTAAACATATGTGCAAGATGTGTCTAATTCTCAAAATTAGACACATATCAGATACACATATTGCACATGTGTATCTGATTCTCCATCCAAGGTGAAGCTAGTATGGCCATCATCAGCAAGACACCGGTGTAATTCTTAGCTATATTGTAGAAACGTTTCGCCTACGCAGCAGACGTCTTCAGTCGAATATCAACGATTATGACAAGGGAACCAGTAGTAATTTTGAAGCAATCAGTCGCTCAGTGTTGATAGGAGGTGGCCAGTCCTCAGACACCGAGGTGTTACACAAGTGTTTTGATTTTCAATTTGTTGGTATTTAATATTTCAGTAATGTAATACCGCCTGCTGGATGTTCAGAACCTCCCTCACACTCACCTTAAATTAATACACCCTTCATAATAAATATGTCTCGGTCCATCTTTTCTATGTGACCAAACCGTCTTAACCCCTTTTCTGTTTTCTGAATCACTCCTTTCATACATATACACTCTGTTCAGTGGTCACACACTGATATCTTGGCGATATTTACATCTCAATGTTAAACGTCTACACTCTCGCAGGATTGCTTATGTTCTCCTTCTGTCTCATCAACACGTAAGTTGGCAGATAAATCTTACAAACTTCTACTTGCATACAGTATAGACATACCTTTACTGTCCTGTGTGCTTCTTAATACTTATTAATTCTGTAATACTTCCCTTAAAACCGCAGGAGGTCTGGTCTGAGACTTCGTATACTCACCTGCTGACTCACAAGTATTGAAATACATTCACTTTCTCCATACGCCTTCAATTTGGTGTCCAGTATTTCATTCCCTATACTTCCACGTATTCTCATCTAATTGTTGGTTTATTCCTTACTTTTAGCTTCCTTCTCTCGTACAAACTTTCCAGACTGTATAGCCCTTGTGGTTTAACGCTTCTTTTTTATTATAATAATAATCCAGACACCTCCAGCATCGTCTGCAAGTTGACTTATGACTATCCCAATATCGCTGTCGTCTGCAGACACACTCTGACAACTCTCTAGCACTCTTAACATTCACTTCTTTCACAACCCCGTGTATAGAGTCAATGAACAACCACAGTAACATCAACCATGTTTTTCCAAGACCCTCTTTTATTGGAAAACATTTCTTCCTTACACACGCTGAGTTGAGCCGCCCTCATCAGTGCTAGTTACAGCTTCTAGCAACTTACCACCTACTTCATCCAGTTGGTAAACAAGTCTCATCTCTCCCGATCATCCCTCGTTATCAGCATTTCCAGATCCGTAATAGGAACAAATATCTGTTCACCCTTAAGAGCTTAGAGTTTACCTACGATACCACACATGATTTACACTCAGTAAAAAGCAGCGTGAGATATACACTAGCCACTAACATGACCTCCTCGCCAGGTACAATGGCCAGAGCCGAGACGACCTCAAGACCAGGGTCACCTACCCTGCTCAGGGACTCACCCTGCAAGGTTACAAAGATTCCAAGTAAGTTATGTGACACCGTGCAATGTTGCCAAGGTGTATTAGTAGTATTAGTAGTAGTAGTAGTAGTAGTATTAGTAGTAGTATTAGTAGTAGTAGTAATAGTAGTAGTAGTAGTAGTAGTAGTAGTAGTAGATAGTAGTAGTAGTAGTAGTAGTAGTAGTAGTAGTAGTAGTAGTAGTAGTAGTAGTAGTAGTAGTAGTAGTAGTAGTAGTAGTAGTACAGAGCTAAACATTATTATTATTATATTATTATTATTATTATTATTATTATTATTATTATTATTATTATTATTATTATTATTATTATTATTATTATTATCATCATCATTAATTCTCGTTGATGTATATTATAATTGAAGTCTTGTCTTGTGTACCCCGTCAGTGCCAGGTATCAGCTTTGTGGCGTGGTGAACCATGAAGGAACCATGACGTCTGGCCATTACACCGCCTTCTGCAGGAGGCAGCACGACAGCAGTCACGACTGGTTCTTCTACGACGACGCCTACGTCACCCATACTAACCTAGACACTGTCCTTGGTAGCTCGGAGGCCCACCTGCTCTTCTACACGCAGGAGTGACACCTGTGGTGACACCTGGTTCGTCAGGAAACAGGACAAGTGTCTCCAGACACGGATCTCTTGTCAAGTGATAACACCTGGTTTTGTTAACCCAGTGATGACCCGTCGCCGACACTATTACTGCTCCAGGATGTAGTGTTGAACGATAGCACCAACATTACTAATTCGCTCTCTGTCTTCAAATTTAATGAATTCAGAGACAACACTCAGAAATGTTCAAGAAATGTCAAAATATTTTATCCACAGTAGTAAATTACAACCATTCTGGAAAAAAATACCCTGATTTTTCTAACCGTAAATAAAGCATTACCACTTTTTTGCGTGTGTGTGACCTAATTCATATCTGCATACATAACTCATTATGATTGTGACCAGATATAAACATGTAAATAGTTCATTACCACTGTAACTTGTTCAGCTATCAAAACTTTGTGGCCCAGTCCCTGGACCCATTATGTACCTCTGTAATCTTTTGACTACCGTCCACAGGATGAGTACGGAGTGCATATAAAGATATTGAACTAACTTCAAACGACAAATGTGGATGAGATATATGGCTCATTCTTGAAGTTATTAAGAGCTGTGCTATCTGTAATGAACGAGGTGTTGCTAGCAACCAGGACTAGCCTCAGCTCGGGGTACGATTAAGGGACGGGGACTCGAGCCTCTGCCCTCCTTTTTACCCTATGACCCACAAAGGGTGTGCTGAGAATCCCTATTATCAGCGCCCAGTAATACCTTGCAGGTTTAGCGATCTCTGAAACAATGATAATGAGAATCGAAAGGTATGGAACCAGGTTAGTATTGTGAGGAAAAGCTGAAGGAACTGGCGCTGACGACCCTGGCGGAGAGGACAAGAGGAGACATAAGACAAGAGGAGACATAAGCAGTACTTAAAAATTCTTTAACTGAACTGATAGGGCAGATAGGCTAACCACGGCAGGAATATGAAGGCAACACCAAAGTAATGGTTGACACTACAGCAGGAACAACAGCTAGGAGTATATATAGGGCTAAAACACAGCTACTTAACATGGGAGATTTCAACCATAAATTAATCGATTACTGAAAGGACAGTCAGTAAACGAGATATTGGAAACCTAACTGAAAAAGACAGATAGAGCCCTTAGTTCAACCAGAGATGCAAAGAAGCAAAAATATAAGAAAAACACAAGAGCATGCAAAACTACAGAAACCGAAGGACAGACAAGAACAGAGAAGTGAGCAGATTATCCAGAAATAAATATACAAAGTTGAGGAGAGAGGCTGAGTGACAATCTGAGAACGACGTAACAACAAGGGTCAAGTCTGAACCAAACTACTGCAGAGCCACGTCAGAAGAAAGTCGTCAGTACAAGACCAGGTAATACGATTGAAGAAATAAGAAACACTCACGGAAAATGACAAGGAAATCTGTGAAGTGTTGATCAAACGATTTGAAGAGGTCTTATCAATGTAAATAGGGCCACTGCTAGACAGCCCAGGGGACAGGGTACACCGACAAGTACTGGTCGCCATACACACAACAAGTAAAGCGGTAAGGGAGCTTTTAATGGAAGTTGAACCATTAAAGGCAATAGTAACTGCCAGGGAGTCACCATGGATTCTGCAAGAGGGAACAGAAGCACTGTCCGAACCACTAAGATCTACAAGTCAATGGATAAGGGACAATTGCCAGAGATCTGGAAGACAGGGAATGTAGTCTCTACATTTAAAAAAGAAATGAGATAGACAGGAAGCACTGATCTACAGACCAGTTTCACTGACATACATATCATGTAAGGTAATAGGGAAGATAATCAGGAGAGCGGCAGAGCACTTGGGAAAAAAGTGGTTTTATAAACAGTAACCAGCACGGGTTCACAGATAGCGAAACTTGTCTTGCCAACTTGTTGGAGTTTTAAAATACAACAACAAATGCGAAACAAGAGAAAGAGAGGTATGGAGGGATTGCATTTTCTTAGACTGCAAAAAGGCCTTAGATACTGTAACCTCACAAGAAGCTAGAGCAAAAACTTGAGGTGCAGACACGAACAACAAGGAACGTACTCTGATGGATCACAGAGTACTTTAGGGGAAGGGATTAAAGAGTGATTGTCAGGGAAGAGACGTCAGAATGAGGAAAAGCAAGAAGTGGGGCTTTCCCCCCCCGCTTCTTGTTTTTTGTTTTTTGAGAAAAAAACCAAAATGAGGAAAAAATAAAAAAAAAAAGCGAGGAAAGGGAAAGGCTGGGAAAATGTATTGGTACACTGCACTGATCACTAAGGGGTTTATTTAAATTTAAACCCCCAGAAAATCCCAAAGTTATGCAGATTGTGGAAAGGGGCAAAAAGTTTCGGACCCACATGTAGACCCCGAAGGGACAGAGGCTGCAAACCTCACTCAGAGAGAAAGCCCAAAGGGTGACACGGGTGCCTGGTTTTATTTTTTCAAAATCAAACCTTTAAAAAACCTCAGCAGCCTGTATCGCCCTGGAAAATTTTACGGGTAAGGGGCAGCCTTCAGGAATGTAGCCAAGGAATCTTTCCGGGCCCCTTTTAAATAAAATTGATTTTGGGAGTACGCACACCAGTAGGGGAAACCCTAAACCTAAAAAAGCAGGTAAAAAAATGGAAAAAGTACAGTGGTATGCAAAGATAAAAAGACCCCCAGAGTTAAAGGGTTTTTCCGGGGAGAAGAAGATAAGGAATCGAATCTAATGACTTGGGAAAGGGCCAGAAAAACCCGAGGGAAACATGAAAATAACATACAAAATCCCTCGATAAAATTGTTTATGGTAGATAGGGAACAGGCTGCTGGAGAGACGAAAAAACATTTTTACTTGGGGGCACAGCGGAATTTAAAATACACAGAGAGCCTCAGAGATGTCAAAAAGGGAATGACTTCCACGTAGAATTGGTGTAGGCAGGTCCCTTTACATAGTTTTAAGAGCAAAATAGATAGGGCCCACGAGGCTAGGAGGGAGTGAATCTGGCAAGCGGCAATTTGAAGGGCGGGGAAGGACCCTAAGACTCGACCACTTTTGGGGTACATATAAAGTCCAGGGCCAGTGGTCCCGTGTCCACAAGAGTGATAAAAGTACAACAGAGAGACAAGTGTTTGAATCATATCAAGATTTTGACCCACCACCCCCAAAGGTGTCAGGGGAGCAACCACCTCACGTGTCAGTGAGCCCCCAGCCTCAGGTTAAAGGTGAGCACCACCCCAAACGTTTTTCAGTGACCCACCCCCCTCCGTGTAAATTTGAGCACCACCTCACTTGTCAGTGGGGCCCACCCCCCACGTTTTCAGTGAGCACCAGCCTCAGTGTCAGTGGGGCCCCAAAGCCCAGTTTTCAGTGGCACCAGCCTCACGGTCAGTGAGAAACCCGCCCCAGGTGTCAAGTGAGCACCAGCCCCCGTGGTCAGGGGAAGAACCAGCCCCACGGTCAGTGAAAACCAGCCTCCGTGCAGTGGCACTAGCCCCACGTGTCATTGACACCATCCCCCGTGTCGTAAAGCCCCAGCCCCACGTGTCATGAGCCCGCCCCACGTGTCATTGACCCACCCTCACGTGTCAGGGGAGCACCAGCCTCACGTGCCCAGTGAGCACCACCCCACGGGGGCCCCCGGGGTTGAGCACCGCCTCACGTGTCATTTGAACCACCCCCCCACGTGTCAGTGACCCCCCCAGCCTATTTTATGAGCACCACCCCCACTTTCCCGTGAGCACCGGCCCCACGTGCCCAGTGGGGCCCCAGCCCCACGGGGTTCAGTGGGGCACCACCCCCCCGTGTCAGTGAGCACCAGCCCTCACGTTTTCCATTGAGACCACCTCACGGGGTCAGTGGCCCCCAGCCCCAGTGTCAGTGAGCACCCAGCCCCAAACGGTCAGGGGAGCACCAGCCCCACGGCAGTGAGCACCACCCCCACGTGTCGGGGACACCACCCCCAATGTCATTGAAAAACCACCCCACGGCCCAGTGAGCACCAGCCCCACTTGTCAGTGAGACCACCCCCACTTTTTAGTGAGCACCACCCCCAAGTGTCAGTGAGCACCAGCCTCACTTTGTATGACCCACCACCCCACGTGTCAGAAAGCCCCAGCCCCCTTTTTGTCAGTAAAGCACCAGCCTCAGGGTGTCAGTACCCAGCCCCCCCGTGTAGTGAGCCCCAAAGCCTACGTGTCATGAGCACCACCCCCGTGCAGTGAGCCCCAGCCTCACGTGTAAGTGAACCAGCCTCACGTGTCAGGGGAGCCCCAAAGCCCAGGGTTTTCCGGGGAGCACCACCCCCACGTGTCGGACACCAGCCTCACGTGCCCAGGGGAGCACCCCCCAAAGGTGCCCAGTGGCACCACCCCCACGTGTCAGTAAAGCCCCAAAAGGCGCCCACGTGTCAGTGAGCACCGGGCCTCAGGGTGTCAGTGAGCACAGCCCCACTTTGTCAGTGACACCCCCCCACGTGCCCCAGTGGGGCACCACCCCCCAAAGTTTTCAGTGGGGCACCAGCCTCACGTGTCCAATGGGGCACCAGCCTCAGGTCAGTGAGCCCAGCCTCACTGTCAGTAAGCACCACCCTTCCCCCTTTGTCAGGAGCACCACCCCCACGTGCCCAGGGGGCCCACCAGCCCTCACGTGTCAGTAAAAGCACCACCTCACGTGTCAGTGAGCACCAGCCCCACTTTGTAAAGTGAGAAACCAGCCTCACGGGGTCAGTAGCCCCAAACCTAAACGGGTCAGTGAGCCCCAACCCCTAAACGTTAGTGGCACCACCCCCAGTGTCAGTGAGCCCCCAGCCCCACGTGTCAGTGAGCACCAGCCTCCCCTTTTTGCCAGTGAGCACCAGCCCCACATGTCAGTGGGGCACCAGCTTCACGTGTCAGGGGAGCACCGGGCCCCCACGTGTCAGTGAGCCCCAAAGCCCCACGTTTCAGTAAAGACCAGCCCCACGGGGTCAGGACCCACCAGCCTCACGTGCAGTGAGAAACCTCCCTCACGTGTCAGTGACCCCCAGCCTCATTGTCATGAGCACCACCTCACGTGCCCGGAGAAACCAGTTTCCAATTTGTCAGGGGAGCACCCCCCCCCCTCAGTGTCAGTAAACCCCCCACCCTTTCAGTGCAGTGAGCACCCCCCTCACGTGTCAGGAGCCCAGCCCCATGTGTCAGTGAGCCCAGCCCTAAACGGTCAGTGAGCACCATCCCCACGTGTCAGTGAGCACCGCCCTTTGTGTCATTTCACCAGACTCACGTGTCAGTGAGCACCACCCCCAACGTGTCAGTGAGAACACCCACGTGTCAGTGGAAACCACCCCACGTGCCCCATGAAAAATTTT